GAAGAATTGATGCTTTTGAACTGTGGTGTTGGAGAAGACTCTTGAGAGTCCCTTGGATTGCAAGGAGATCCAACCAGTCCATCCTAAAGGAGATCAGTCCTGGGTGTTCATTGGAAGGACTGATGTTGAAGCTGAAATTCAATACTTTGGCCACCTGATGCAAAGAACTGACTCATTGCAAAAGACACTGATGCTGGGAAAGATTGAGGGCAGAAGGAGAAGGAGACAATAGAGGATGAGATGGTTGGATGGCATCACCGACTCAATGGACATGAGTTTGAGTAAACTCTGGAAGTTGGTGATGGACAGGGAGTCCTGATATGCTGCAGTCCACGGGGTTGCAGAGTCATACATGACTGAGCGACTGAACTGAACCATTTCAATACCCAGCACTGATAACAATTAACACTAATGAATTGAATATAGTACCTTTATAACTACAACTTAAAGAAAACATTTTTGAACTATCCTGCTAATTTATTCTAATTTACCCTGATTCCCACACTTACTTGGAAATAAGTATTTCCAAATACTTTCTACTGCTCTCTATATGGTCTGTCTTTATGAAATGCCCATCTTCCTCTGAAACTTTTCACAAGAGAACTTTTACATCATGATTTTATATAAAAATGACTGAAAAATACCTTTAAAATTTGTTTATACTGACATATTCCTAATTAATTATGCAATAGCTATTTTATGGTGCTGGAAACTTGTATTTTCTTATAATTTCTTTCCATAATCTGATTTTCATTGATTTAATTAAACTATCTGTTTACTTCCATGTGATAAAGGTAATTATCTTTATTCTGAATTGCAATTTAATAAAAGTACATTTGTGCATATCTCTCACAGAAAGAAACTTACTGAAATGTTTAGAAAATAGATAAAAGTATCAGCATATTTAAAAAACAAAATACATTTAAAACTATAAGAAATGTTATAGATCTCCATTAATTTACTACTATAATACCATAGTATACTAGCCTGTTGATTTGATTTAAATCAACAAATACTAAGCTTTTACAATATATCAGGCATGTGCTAGAATCTAGGGGGAAAATAGTTTTACCTATCTTTAAAAGAGGTATTATTTTAAAATTTAAAATGCAATTTTAGTAACAATGACATTTCTTATATTTTTAAAGTTAAATTAACATATTTAATTTAAAAAACTTTGAAAGATTTTCTTATTTCAAAAAGACCCTAAAATTAAACAACTACTTATTTATTATAATTTAAATTAGTTTTCAGGCAAATTGTAGCTGAAGAGAAGAGAGCATGAGGATAATTTCACCTACTACTTTTGGCCAGTTAACTCCTATGAATTTAGTTTTTATCATCCATAAAGTAAAGATTGTAACAACACCTACACAATATGGTTTACAGGAGCTTTTTTTTGAGCTAAGGTAATGATCACACTACTTTGAATATTTCAAGTGATCAACGTATGCTAAATTTTATTATTAACATCACATTAGCCCCTGGAGAAACTTATATGAGCTGGCTTATTTGTCCAGCTATGTAAATATTTATGTTGACATAATTTGAATGAACTTGATTTATTAACTACAGAAATAAGTAGATTATGAAATGACTGGCCCATTTATTCAAGCCAAATGTGACTTACCATGAGTTCATCTGTTTTATGTATACTCATTATTATATTTGTACTTAGAGCTTTTAAAGCACAATGAATTAATGCACTGTGTAAGTCAAGAGTGTTTGGGTCTGATTCATATCTCCAATACTAACTACCTTTGTGGTCTTGTGGTCATTTAACTTCTTGGACATCACTTTCCTCTCCTGTAATGAATATTTTGCAGATTTATTAAAAATGTTAAATAAGATATCCACATAGAGCACTCAGTATGTTGAGTGCCATACTGAGAGCACCCAATAAAAAATGTGTTATTATCATACGGTCAAATATTTCTCAGATCAGTAAGTCAATCAAAGCATGTATTAGATAGGATCTACTTTTCATTACTCATAATTGCAATTTAAAATCCAAAATTATATATATATATATACCGCTCAGCTGTAACAGTGGCTCAGTGGTAAAGAATCCACCTGCAATGCAGGAGCTGCAGGAAACACAGATCCAATCCCTGAGTCAGGAAGGTCCCCTGGAGGAGGGCATGGAAACCCACTCCAGGATTCTTGCCTGGAGAATTCCATGGACAGAGAAGCTTGGTGGGCTACAGTCCATAGGATCGTGAAGAGTCAGACATGACTGAAATGACTTGGCACTCACGAATATATGCAGCTATTATTTAAACTTTAATAAGAGATACCATTTGTAACCTCATCTTAGCTCTGCACTTGATTATTTCTCAAAAGTGTGAGGAAAACTAGTTATTCCCTGGATTTCACTGTCACATTCATTCTTATTTTATTTCCTCTTTCATTCCTATTTTATTTTCACTCCTACATTTTTGGCTACCATGAATAGGTCTATGCATTTGGGGACCAGATGGTATAAAGTGGGGTAGCCACACATATATTATTCATGCTTTCCCTGCCTTTTCTCAGCTCCCACTGGTGTCTATGTCCACAATGACAAATAGTTGCACAATAACAATACCATCCACACCACCCATTTAAAGAGCTTACATCCTGATCTAGTCAGTGTGTTATCCATTTTACTAGTAATAGTCCTGCAAGAGCCTGAGAAGCAGAGTGCACAATAAAAAGAAAAGAAAAAAAAAATCAAATGTTGAAGAAAAATAGTCATTTTTAGGGTTTGTTTGAATTTTGCTTAATGAGGAGTAACACAGGGTAGAGTTAAATTCCACATGAAGAGGATCATGTGAAACAGTGTCTCTTTTATCACTAAGAAGATTGATTACACAGAGCACTAAATTATTAATTTTTATAATGAAGGTCAGTTTTCCCTTTTAGAAACAAAGTACAAATTCATATTCAGCTCAAAATCAAAACGAAAGCACAACACTACTCCATAAATTTTGTACATATTTTTGTTTTGATAATGGACTGTATATTTGTTTTAACTTACCTCTTAAAATCTTGCTTGAACCCATTCCCTCATAAATATTTAATACATCTGCATAATATGTATTAAAGTAATCAAAGTTCAGTTGAATGGAAAGTCCTTGGTTTACACTAAATTAAAAGCAAAAAAAAAAAAGATTATTATACATTTAACAGTTGGGACAACTCAATGCATTCTCAAATTTGAATGTATTATTCCAATTGTGACAAAAATATATAACTTGAGATGGACACTCAACAAATATTTAAATGTAAAGAATGGTATTTGTAACACAATATTGTACTTCAGCTCTCTGAAACTCTTTTAATTTGCATGACTGAAACTCTGCAGCCATTGATCAGTAACGGCCCACTGTTTCCACTGTTCTGCTTTTTGTCTCTGATTTTGAATGCTTTAGATACATGCAAGATTTGTCCTCTTGTGACTGGTTTATTTCACTTAGTATAATGTCCTTAAGGTGCGATCATGTTATCACGGGTTTTTCTTCTGCTGTAAAGATAAGATTTCCCTCTTTTGATGACTGAATAATATTCCACTGTATATATAGTGAAACCATAGTTTCTTTATCCATTTATCTGTCAATAAACATTTAGGCTGTTTCTACCTCTTGGCTATTGTGAATAATGCTACAATGAACATGGGAGTGTGTATCTTTTAGATATCTTTATTTCAATTATTTTGAATAAATACTCAAAGAAATCAGATTGCTAGATCATATAGTAGTTATATTTTTATGTCTTTAGGGAAATTTCATAGTGCTTTCTATAATGACTATACCATTTTGCATTCTAACTAACAGCACACAACTGTTCCAGTTTTTCCACATCCTCACCAGTATTTACAGTGTTCTGATCTTTTTTTGATAATGACTGTTATTATTTTGATTTGCATTTCCATGATGATTATTGATGTTGAGCAATGCCTGTTGGCCATTAGAATGTCTTTTTTAAAAAAGAAATATCTATGAGAACTTTGCCCAATGTTTACTTAGTTTATTTTGCTATTGAGCTTTGAATGAGTTCCTTATATATTTTGGATATTAACTCCTTATTAGAAAATGGTTTGCAAATATTTTCTTCCATTCCTTAGGTTGCCTTTTCATGCTACTGTTTCATTTACTGTATGGAGGGTTTTAATGAGATGTACCCCCACTTGTTGATCTTTGCTTTGTTGCTTGTGTTTTTGTTTACAAATTCAGGAAATCATTGTGAAGACCAAAGCTATGCAGTTTTCCTTCCATATTCTCTTCTATGAGATTTATAATTTCAGGTCTTATGTTTAAACCTTTAATTAATTTTGAGTTGGTTTTGTGTATGGTGTAAGATAAAGGCAAATTTTGTTCTGCATCAGAATATCTAGTTTTACCAACACCATTTGTTGAAGAGACAACTGTTTCCCCATTGTGTAGTTTTGCCATCCTTGTTAAAGATGATTTGATCATATATGTGTGGGTTATTTCTGTCCTCTCTATTCTTCATTGGTCTATATGTCTGTTTTTATGCTGGAACTATACTTACTGATTACCGTAGCTTTGTAATATAGTTTGAAATCAAGACATGTGAGGCTTTGTTCTCTTTCTCAAAATTTTTTTAGCTATTTTGGGTCACTTGTGATTCAATTGACTTTTAGGATTCTTTTTTCCAATTAATTTTTTAAAAGTCATTGGGACTTTGATAGGGATTGTAATAAACTTGTAGATCATTTTCAGTAGTATGGATGTTATTATATTACATTACTATATTTTAATGACATTATCTTCCAATTCATAAATGTGAGATGCCGTTCCATTTATTTGTCTTTAAATTATGTCAGCCATGTTTAATTATTTCCACTGTTTAAAACTTTTACCTCCTTGATTAAGTTTATTTATAAGTATTATACTTTATTCTTTTCACTGCTATTGTAAATGGGATTATTTTCTTGATTTTCTTTTTGCATGATTAGTGTATAGAAACACAAGTGATCTTTCTATGTGGATTTTTGTATCCTGTAACTTTTCTTAATTACTTTATTACTCTTAACATTTTCTCTCTCTCTTTCTGTCTCTCTCTCTTTTTTGGTGAAATTTATGGTTTTCTATATATAAGATCTTGTCCTCTGGGAACAGATATTTTTACATCTTCCTTTCTTATTTGGATACACTGCATATTTTTTTCTTGCTTAATTGTTCTGCCTAGAACTTCCAGTACTATGTTGAATAAAAATGGTGAGAGGGGGCATCCTTGTTTTATTCCTGATCTTAGAGGAAAAGTCTTTACTTTTTCATCAATTAGTATGATATCAATCTGGGCTTTTTCTTATATGGCCTTTATTCTATTTAGGTAATTTTCTTCTATTCCTAGTTTGTTGAGTGTTTATTTATTTATTTTTTTATCATTAAAGACTACTGAATTTTGTCAAGAGCTTTATCTGTATCTATTGAGAATATCCTGTGATTTTTATCTTTCAATCTGTTAATAATGGTGTATCAAATTGACTGATTTTTATATATTGAAACATCCATGCATTCCAGAGATGAACCTCACTTGGTGATGGTGTATGATTCTTTCAATCTGCCATTGCATGTGGTTTGCTATTATTTTTCTTAAGGATTTGTGAATTTATGTTAATATTTGTCAGGGGTCTTGGACTGGAGTTTTATTTTCTTCAGGTGACTTTCTATGGCTTTGGTATCTGTAAACATGCCTTCTTTTTTAAGTTATGGAAGAATTTGAGAAAAATTAGTATTAACTCATCTTTAAATATTTGGTAGAATTCACCAGTAAAAGCATTGTGTTGCAGTATTTTGTTTGCTGTTCTCTGGTTACTGATTCAATTTTCTTAATAGTAATTGGTCTGCCAAGATCTTTGTATTTCTTAATGATTCAATCCAAGTAGATCAAATGGTTCTAGGAATTTATCCTTTTCTTCTAGGTTAACCCACTTTGCACTGCTTTTTCTCTATTCCCATAGGGTTTGTTATTATTATTATTTTTTTGCTTGTTTTCATTTGCTTCAAGATATTTTCTAATTTCCTTTTTGATCTTCTGAGATCCGTTGACTATTCCAAAGCAATTAGAGCCTCACAATACCAAAGAAGGGCAATGCCAAAGAATGCTCAAACTACTGCACAACTGCACTCATTTCACATGCTAGCAAGGTCATGCTCAAAATCTGCCAAGGCAGGCTTCAACTGTAAGTGAACCGAGAAATTCCAGATATACAAACTGGATTTAGAAAAGGCAAAGGAACCAGGGCTCAAATTACCAACATCTGTTGGGTCACAGAAAACACAAGAGAATTCCAAAAAAACATCAACTTTTGCTTCATTGACTATGCTAAGCCTTTGTCTGNCCAAAAAAACATCAACTTTTGCTTCATTGACTATGCTAAGCCTTTGTCTGTGTGGCTCACAACAAACTGTGGAAAATTCTTAAAGAGATGGGAATACCAGACCACCTTACCTGCCTCCTGAGAAACCTGTATGTAGGTCAAGAAGCAACAGTTAGAACTGAACATGGGACAACAGACTGGTTTCAAATTGGGAAAGGAGTGTGTCAAGTCTGTATATTGTCACCCTGTTTATTTAACGTATATGCAGAGTACATCATTTGAAATGCCAGGCTAGATAAAGCACAAGCTGGAATCAAGATTGCTGGGAGAAATATCAATAACCTCAGATATACAGATGACACCACCATTATGGCAGAAAACAAAGAGGAACTAAAGAACCTCTTGATGAAAGTGAAGGAAGAGAGTGAAAAAGCTGGCTTAAAACTCTTAAAACTCAACATTCAAAAAGTTAAGATCAAGGCATCCATCAATTCATGGCAAATATATGGGGAAACAATGGAAACAGTGACAGATTTTATTTTCTTGGGCTCCAAAATAACTGCGGACAGTGACTGCAGTCAAGAAATTAAAAGTTGCTTGCTCCTTGGAAGAAAAGCTATGACAATCCTATACAGGGTATTAGAAAGCAGAGACATGACTCTACCAAAAGAGGTCCGTATAGTCAAAGCTATGGCTTTACCAGTGGTCTTGTACAGATGTGAGAGTTGGACCCTAAAGAAGGCTGAGTGCTGAAGAATTGATACTTTTAAACTGTGTTGTTGGAGAAGATTCTTGAGAGTCCCTTGGACTGCAAGGAGATCAAGCCAGTCAATCCTAAAGGAAATCAACCCTGAGTACTCATTGGAAGTCCTGATGCTGAAGCTGAAGCTCCAATATTTTGGCCACCTGATGCGGAAAGCCAACTCATTGGAAAAGGCCCTGATGCTGGGAAAGATTGAAGGCAGGAGGAGAAGGGGATGACAGAGGATGAGATGGTTGGATGGCAACACTGACTCAATGGACATGAGTCTGAGCAAGCTCCAGGAGATGGTGAAGGACAGGGAAGCCTGGGGTGCTGCAGTCCCTGGGGTCACAAAGAGTCAGATACGACTGAGCAACTGAAGAACAAGAAGAGGCTGGCAGGGTTCTTCTTCGGTGGTTCCTGTTTCTTGCTCTCTCTGGTGTCTGTAATGTGGGGGGCAAGTTTTCTCTTCCTACCACAGCAAGTCATCTCACTATCCCTTATCCTCTGCAACCACCAGGTCATGCAAATTGTGCTAGTTCATCAACTTCCCACTCATGCAACGTATGGACCAGTTGGTGGGGAAGTTGTTGAAATAGCTAGAATGTTGGGAACTTCCTGCATTTCTTTCTTTTCACCTTAGGGAGAAGACTTGATTTGTTCATCTTTTCCTAATTGTATCAAGTCCTGTTGATCACAGCAAGCTGCACCCACTCCTATTTGTTCTCAGTATCTCTCAGGCATTCAAACAATGCTAGGTCCATTAGTTAAACATATGAGAACAGAAACTAGTTCCTTTGGAAACTCTTGGAAAAGTTGGGACACTGGATGCATGTTCCACCCTTCTCTTTCCTTCCAAGGAAGAAGTAGAGAGTCAAGACCTGTGTTGAGCTGTGCTGTGTTGGGGGAAATGCTGATGGAGGTTAAAATGAACTTAATCTTCTTGCCCATTTATTGCAGCTGTTCTTGGCTTTGTACTCACCCAGGGTATGCAACTTCTAAACTGAATTCTGGAATTTTCATAAATATGTTTTGGTCCACACATCATTGTTAAAT